CTTTAACCCACAAGCCATCTCATATACACATAAATGCACACATATACATATACCTCACTAAGTTATTGTCTATAAAACACACCAAGCACTTAGCCATATAGCCTAAAATTATGTAAATAAAAATATGTATTATCACCAGAATGCATCCGAATTTCCAAAGATTAGGGAACTTGCTATATTTCTTTATATAATACATTGTTTTTATATAATGCTTTACGGCTTATAATGCAACTTCACATATATGATTTTCAATAAATACCTTAGTGACTTCTCAAAGAGTTCATCCCCCAAAGATCTGAGATAAAGATATTCTTCCTCCCAAAAACCCTCAAATAATATTAGTTAATGGTAGAAATAACAATTACTTCATATATAGTATATGTGAATATAAAGAAAGTGACCAAAGTCTGTCTCTGAATATGCGGATTTTAAATTTGGAGCCATAAAGTATAAAAAGAATAGAAGCTAAAAAATGGCTATTCAAAAAAAAAAAAAAAAAAAAAAAAAAGGATAACTCAGTAAAACAACTTATCAAAAGAACATTAAAAAAAATATTTTCAATTTAATGTGGTAATCTATAATTAAAAATGACAGAATAAACTTTTATTTTAAAAAGTCTATTTTGTTAAGTAGACAGATGTTTTCATTAAACCTACACACTGAAAGTTCTTAAGATTTTTCTGAAACTTTTACAATAAATAAAATTAAGGTAGCTTAAACTATTTCAAAATATAAAGTTATAGCAAACACAACTCCCTGGTGTTGATCTTCATTGCCATATACTGTTAAAAGGTACATGACCAAACAAGTACTCTGACCAAACTAAACCACTTTCCAAAAAAACCAGAAATCTAGCACAAATAAATTAATTCAGACTGAGTAGTTTAAATATAGTATTTTAGTTATAGTTTGGACTGTATTTGATCACTGTTATAGAAAAAGGCCATTAACCACATTTTAAAGTAGGTACAGTATATTACGTGTGTGTGTGTGTGTGTGTGTATTTTTTTTTTAAGGCAGAGTCCGCTCTGTTGCCCAGGCTGGAGTACAGCAGTGGTAAGATCTGGGCTCATTGCAACCTCCGCCTCCCAGGTTCAAGCCATTCTCTTGCCTCAGCCTCCTGAGTAGCTGGGATTACAAGTGTATGTTATCACAACCAGCTAATTTTTGTATTTTTAGTAGAGACGTGGTCTCCTCATGTTGGCCAGGCTGGTCTCAAACTCCTGACCTCAAGTGATCCATCCACCTCAGCCTCCCAAAGTGCTGTGATTACAGACATGGGCCACTGCACCTGGCCACATCACATGTATTAATGAAAATTAAAAACATGGTTTTTCTTAGGTTAAAATAGTAATGTTGACAAATTTCATCTTACGCCACATCTCAGGTTTGAATTATGATGTCATTAATTACCTATATAGACTCTTTAACATAAAATTAAAAGTATTACTTCAAATCTTACAATATCATCAAGAACTTATCCATCTAATTCAATTAACTGACCTAAGTATCTTTCATAATTTTATTTTTATATTAAGAGCCAATCATTTCCCCTCTTCCAACAATTCACACTTGTTCTATATAGTAAGGTTTCAAAATGACAAGTTTTTTCCACCCAAGTCAACCTTGAAAAGGCAAGGACTGCAGGGAAAACAATGAGAAATGAAAGAAATCTCTTGCTACCCTCAGATCTACCAAGCTACACTTAAGAGCCAACTCTAAGTTCAAAAAGAAAAAATAAAGTGGGAATATAAAAAACTCTTAAAAATGTAGAAGAAATTAGACTAGTTTAGATTTCTTTAATATCTTCTTTAATATGACATTACAGCACACAACTGAGCCCCTAGTGTGTTAAACATGGGGATGTATATCCATATGAAGAGAATGGAAACAAGTTTAATCTTAACCCCATTCCTTTTGGCAAGTAATAGAAATACAGCATACAAATGGACCAATTCTCTGTCAGTGTATTTTATCAAGTCTTTGAAGACACCATAATAGTTTTATAATGAACTTTGCTGTAATCTGTTAAAGAATCCTCAAATTAAATTACAGGGATGGTTTGTTTTAACTCAAACACAGTAAAATGGGGATTGTACTAATAATCCCCTCATGAAGTATAAGGATTAATGCTCATGTAAAATCAATGCAGCTATTTCCCTATCACTGAGATACAGTGTTAAATATGGTGTCTTCAGCTGCTTATAAAAAGGGTTAAATATAAGAACAAAAGAATTTTCATCCTGAATTACAGTCAGTGAAACAAACGAAAAAAAATTTAAATCAAAGCTTGTGAATGGTTTTATATGATTTGTCACTAAACATAAACATACATATGCTCAAAGCACTTTAAAAAAGTTTTAAGTTGTGATTTAGCCAGAACTTCTGCAATACCCATAAGAAATTAGGTAAAATTCTAATGTTCTGGTAATCAACATATTAGGAAGCAACAGATATTAAATTTGAAAGAAAATTAAATACACAAAATAAAAGGACTATTTTAAAGTAAGGGCATAAGAATAGGAGTTGCTAACTATAGCACTGAAGCTTTTCCTTGGAAATATCTTAAACTTACAGGGAAGACAAACAAGGTGGGCAAAATATGCAGATTTAAAGCAATGACAAGTTACAGTAGAAGAGGGAATGCATTCTCTAATCCACAGGATCAGGTATGTGGCTCTACGCAGTTACCGGGAAATATTTTGGTGTTCTTCCTATCATGTTAATTTAAAAATTTAAACTGAGTTACAGTAGTTTTATAAGTTAAGAGCTGACACAAGCAAATTACAAGAACTCTAAAATTATCCTTCCTTAATTGGGTAGGATTTACCATATCCACCTGAACAAACCCATTTCCCCATCCTGAGATCTAAAAGAATGTGAATATTGACCCATTTTAATGCTTTTCAAGTTCAGACGGAAGCCATACTGTACACCAGTCCTGATTTTAGGAAACAGCACAAAGCAAACTCCTAAAATCAACTCACTTAGAAAAGAAAGGAGGCAGGGGGTTCTAGGAATTCCTCCAGCCACAAGTCATTCCAGTCTTCCTGTTAATGCAAAATCCGTTTGTATAAATGGCTAAATAATAACTTCCAAAAAACCTCCAAAATTATGTTTCAGTTTCAAATTAAAGAACTTCAAGAATTTTCAAAGAATCTAGTATCAAAACAGATCTTTACCAGTTCACATTTGTTCCATATTTTGCATTAAACAATAGGCTTAATGATTATTTCATTATGGCATACACATCAGAACCTAATCTTTCAGAAGGGCTCACTGACAATCCAACTGCTTTTGGGAATTTATCGGTTATCTACAGGGAACACCTGACTGGTAGTTAGAGCCAGGTCATACTGCAATTTAAAATATTCCAACTCGGCTGGGTGTGGTGGCTCATGCCTGTAATCCCAGGACTTTGGGAGGCCGAGGCAGGTGGATCATGAAGTCAAGAGATCGAGACCAACCTGACCAACATGGTGAAACCCCATTCCTACTAAAAATACAAAAATTAGCTGTGCATGGTAGCGCATGCCTGTAGTCCCAGTGACTGGGGAGGCTGAGGCAGGAAAATCACTTGAACCTGGGAAGCGGAGGTTGCAGCGAGCCGAGATTGCAACACTGCACTCCAGCCTGGTGAAAGAGCGAAACTCCATCTCAAAAAAAAAAAAAAAAAAAACAAAAAAAAACAAAAAAAACCAACAAAACAAAAAACACACATATATATTCTAACTCAAACACAGGAAATAATCAGAGGGGGACAATGATATATAACTGCAATATACTAAGGCAGCAGATAAGTCATTTTTCACCTAGGTCATCAGCTGCCAATAAAATCGTATGTATAAGTTTAATGAATGAGTGCTCTAATTTAACTAAGGAACCTGTCACGGAGCTGAGAGAGGGATATAAGAACTGCACTTGCAATTCTAGCTGATGAATTCATTAGATTTTTATAAGGCAAATAATGTGGAAAGTTAGAACAGAATTTCTAAAACCATTTATCCTGTGATGTTGTAAATCAAAGTACTACTTTATTAAATGAGTTATTTTACACAATATGAACATCAATATAATTACAATTGTAAAAAAATTTTTTATAACAAGGATGGACTGATTTTCAGATTTCCAAATCAGAGTCAACTGTACATTTACACAGAATTGTCTTTGCATGAAGCCCAAAAGGGAACAGCATAAAAATGAGTGTTTTCTGTAGCCCCTTTATTTTTGCTGATCAACAGTTTGTTAGAAAAGCAGCTGCAGGTATGTTACCTAAGGTCTGAGACAGTAGAAGACTCAAAGGTGTCATGAATTCACCTATAAAACATAAGCAAAATTTTCAATGAATGTTACCATTACACAAATGCAACTTAATCTGCATTTCAAATAACTAAGAAAAAACACTATGAAGATAGTATCAGAAATAATTCTCAAACACACAACACACCCACCACTAACTCCATTCTTTAGGGAGAAAAATTCCAACCAAATGTAATGTGCAAAGTGATGACTTTCAAACAACAAATTTATAAACAAATTTACATAGCACATATCTACATTTTGCCCTATATTTTAATGCTCATAAACTCTGCTAAGGGGATGGGTTGGGGGGAAAAAAGAAGAACATCTGCTAATTATTGTAAGTAAAATAACTGTAAAAAGGTGCTCAGGAACATTGGTGTACACTGTTTCTGAGAGGAAAACTCTCAAATATCTTTGTAATCACTATTTCCTTTAAACTGATAAGTTTCTTTCATTCTTGGACCAGAGTTGGCCAGCATGTACTCATCTCCCCATTTTTGGCTACAGTAGTAAAAATTTGGATGTTTCAAAGGCATTGAAAGGAAATAGTCTGAGGAAAAGGGACTTTTAAGTTACACATTAAAAGGTGAAAGCAATAAAGTCTCAGAAGGCAGAAATTAATTTCACAATCTGAGAAGACAGTTTTGGTCTTTTTACAACCTTGATATTAACAAACCAATAAAAAAGAGGTTACCTACCTGTAAACAACCTTATGCCTGAACATCAGCTAATTCTGGAGGAAGTGGAGTCTTAGGATGCTTGCTCTCAAAGTGCTGCTTGAAGGTCTTAGGGTCTGGCATTTGCGTCTAACAAAAAAATTGTGCAAAAGAGAGCTAGACTTTATTTATGAAACAAAAATGTGTTACATTTTAGAATCCTGAACCTTCTCATGATACACAATTATCACAAAACATCTTTAAATTCCTACAACTCAGTGGCTGGCATATGAAGAGGGATTTTGTGGTAAAGAAATTCCTAACATTCCCACATTTCACATATAAAGAAAGGTAGGTCACACAGAATGTATTCTGCTTATCTGATTAACAGCAAACAACAGGTAACATTTACTGAATGCTTATTATGTTAAGCATGTTACCTAAATTCCCACAGAACCTTCAAAGCAATCTGTAGCTCTTTCTAGCATCTTCATTTCATGTGATAAGAAAACTAAAACCCAGTTTAAATTGCCCAAGACCTTATTTTAACTTAGTACTAGGTATGTGACCTCTCAAATACTATACTATACTGACTTTTCTTGACAAGAACCTTCAATTATTTATTTTTAACCCATTCAATTAACAAAATATGAAATAAAAGTCTGTGGGTTTGAGTTTTTAAATATGCAAATTACTCTAGCACTTTTAGGTTAAGGTATTTCATTACTAATTGATTAAACTGTGCACCCTGCCTCTTTCCAAACAATCAGAAGCTGTTCAATTTCATTATTTTGAGTGTATATGTAGGTAACTAACCTCACTATGGTTTCCTTTGGCACTGCCATTCACTAACTTCAAGGGTAATGAGCTTAAACAAACAGGAAAGAGGCTCTGATTTGGAATTTCAGAAGTATTTCTTTGAAGGGCAGTACAGTAGTGGTCCAGAGGGTGGACTCCGGAGCTGAACTGCCTAACTTTAGATTCCAGCTCTTCTACTAACCAGTGGGGTGACCCCACACAAATTGTTTAATTTCCATGACTCAGTTTACTCTTCTGTAAAATGAGAATAATAAAAGTACTTTATTTCATAGGGCTGTTACGTGGATTAAATGGGTGAATACAACGTAAAAACCTGGATCTATGTCTGGCATATGGTAAACACTCAAAAGTAGTTGTTGTAATTATTGTTTTTCAAATCTAATAAAACACATGAATTCTAGGAAAAGCTCTCAACATGAATATACTCTATATGGTTTTATAGACCTCCTAATTATGGATTTAGTGAAGAAGGAAAAAAAAAGCCAATGATATTACCAGTGGTATATTTACCAGCATATCATATAGCTCTAAGAATGTAGTTTAGAGCTATATGATATGCTAGTGAAGTGTATCATATGCCCTTATAAAGACATCTTTATTCTATATGAGTAAAGCGATTTTGTTTGGTTCACTCCTTTTCCCCAGCACCTAATTTTGTCTGGCCACAGGAGCCATTCAAAACATATTTGTTGAAAGGATGAATGAGATAGATACCTAAAACAATCAGCTTTTGAACCTACTATTTCAAGTAAAGCATCTATTTTGCCATGGTTTCAAAATGTTAATCTACACAAACCAATTTATAATGAAAGAACTGCCCATGGAAGAGCTGTATCTTTCAATTCCCCTTACCCTACAGACAGTGCAGGTATATATTAAGGCAGCTTTGGCAGCAGCCTTTTGGTCATGTCCTTGTTTCTTCTTTTGTCCAGCTTGCTTTTTGGCATTTTTCTGCTGAGACTGAATCTTCTGCTGTCCACGAGCCATATCTAAAAACAGAAGGTAACGCATTAGAGTGGCTTATTTACTCTAATACAGAGTAATCTAAGCATAAGAACATTCTTAGAATTGAAGCCTTAAGTTTTATAGAAATATCTGGCAAATAAAAATGTGTAGGTATTAAAATTCCTACATACAAATACTACAAATGTATCTACTGGCACAACTCTGTGGAAAGCTAGTTGGTAGTTGTTTATTCTATGAGCCAGCAATTCCACTCTTGGTATATATCCAATAGAAATGCAAATGTTATGTACCCAAGACATGTACAAAATGTTCAGAGTGCCTATTCCAAAACTGGAAACAATCTGAATGCCTATCAACAGTAAAATGGATGCACAGCTTGTATACGTATGTTTATAGTATTTATACAACGGGAAAACTACGCAGCATTTAAAAAATTGTTACAAGTAACAACTTGGTTGTATCTCAATGTTAAAGGAAAGAAGCCAGTTGTGGAGAATATACATTATTTAAAGTTCAAAACAGGCAAAGCGAATCTATAGTGAAAGGAGTCACCTTGGGGGTTACGGTTAATGACTGGGAAGGCAGTGCAAGAAGAGGACTTACGGGCTTCTGAAAATGTTCTCTACCTTGAATCAAGTGTGTTTACTTGCAAAAATTCATTGAACTATACACTTAAGATTTATGCACTTTACTGTATGCAATCTTCAAAAATTTACTTAAAAAGATTAGCCACCCCCCATCATTTATTTGATCACTGAACAAAGGCAATTTCCCTTCCCAGTATTCACGGTGACTTGCAATTGTGGTTCTTGTAACTTTAAGGAAGAGCTGACAGCTAATCCTTCTAAAGGAGACCACCGAAACAGGTGGACACTGTTCTCTTAAATACTTAGTTTTCATAAAATTACTGTTATTTTTTTTAAAACATTGGTCTTGCTGGACTGCTGCACAAATTATAAAATAAGATTATTACCAAGTTACTAATTCCAGAAGTTTCTTTACTCTCTAGTAGTTCCAAGTTGAGGAAATGAACGTGGTTAAGAGGGTTCTTTTACAAAGCTAAAAGATACCACTTTTTATTACTGATGATCTGAAGTGAACCCAAATGGATTAAAAAAAAATCATGTCGCTGAAAAAAAAGTTACTTTTACTTTTCCATTTAAAGGCTTTTATTAGACCACACAAGTTAAACCTGTTCATAAGGAGTCTTTCATTAGTCTCAATTGCTTTTTAAATATATCAAAATTGGATCCTAAGAAGAATTCATATATATATATATATATATATATATATATATATATATAGTTTTGACTAGCACTGTAACTAAATGTAAATTATTGCAGGACAGGAACATACAATGGATTTATATTAACTTCACCAGGGAAGGGTGAAGCTTTTTCTGATTGGAACCGTAATTAGTTAATAGATATGAAGTCAAAGCATTTCATAAAAATTATTGAGCTCCTATTCCCCAAAAAAGGAAACTGAAAAAATACACTGATTGGAGAAATTCCCACTAGCAAAAAAACTAACTGAAAGTCAGCTAAAATATAAAAGAGGATCAATGCTTTTCAGGATAGTTGGCTGAATCAACTGACAAAACATGGAGTTTTTATATTAAGCTAGCATACTACATACTAGCCTAACACAAAAAATGAAAATGTTAGCATGCTAGCCTAATATGAGAACCCCATTCCCACCAAACAATGGTAAATATTGCTAGCTGTATCAGTCCTTGAAGACTAAGCTTCCATTTTTGCTTAAACAAACAAACAAAAGTAAGGGCGGGGTGGCTTGAGCCTATAATCCCAGCACTATGGGAGGCTAAGGCAGGCGGATCACCTGAGGTGAGGAGTTCAAGACCAGCTTGGCTAACATGGTGAAACCCCGTTTCTACTAAAATTAGCCAGGGGTGGTGGCATGCATCTGTAATTCCAGCTACTTGGGAGGCTTGAGGCAGGAGAATCACTTGAACCTGGGAGGCGGAGGTTGCAGTGAGCCGAGATCGAGCTACTGCACTCCAGCTTGGGCAACAAGAGCGAAACTCCGTCTCAAAAACAAACAAACAAACAAATCTTTAATTCTAAGCCAAATGGCACATTTTTTTTTTTTTAAATGTATGTTTAAGTCCGATGTTACTGCAAGCTTACAAACCTATTCCCATGGAAGAGGTTTGGATACTTTTGTATAATTTGTATAATATACCAATGTTTTATAACACTTTTTCTGTCTCAGTGTCTTACTATTAGGACCTTGTAACAAAGTAGTCAGTCCTGTCACTCATCTTAACTCTTAGACACAATGTATTTTATGTATGCTGATACACTGATTTTGTGGGAATTCTAGTTTTACGCTTAAAAAAAAAATCTTCAAATATTAAGCCACTAATTTCAGAAGTTTCTTTGCTCTCTACAAGTTACTAGCTACTGTAATAGTTCCATGTAGTGACTCGTACAAAGCAATGTCACTAGATACACAAAATTATTTTTAACTTTTGCACTTAGGACTTTCACTAAAATATAACATTACACAATAGAGTTAACCCATTTTCCATTGTCACCAAACAGCAATAAAAAAGCCCGAAGAGACTTAATAAAGACAGTAGTTGCTTGTTCTTATTCTGAAGACAGAAAACACCACAGAAAGGAAATTGAATCAAATAGGTTAAATGCATGAGATAGGCCCCTAACTTCTGACAACACGCCACATCGATTTCCTTTCTGAAAGCAGAAACTGAAACGAACCAACCACCTGCTTTTGGACAGCTCAACTTAAGGTTTGCTCTCAAGCCAACAGCATTTTCTACAAAATCGTAAGCAGCCACAACCGTTCCTTGATTAAATGCGACAAACTGGAGAGAAAACGTCATTTACAAACACCTACATGCTGGTTTTTAATGCAACTCTTCGTGTGGTTTTCCGAGGGGCTGCAAAGAAGGAAGTAGTAGAAGGAACGAGTTCTAAAACGAGGCGCTCTCGTAGGAGGCAACAAGTAAGCACTGCCCCAAAGCTCCTTTAAAACCAACACAAATGAGTAAGAGAAGAAAAGGATTTTGGGTCCAGGAAGTAGGCACATTCTCCATAACCATCTGAAAGGAAGAGGCCCAGGCAGCGCTCCACAGACTGACCCTAGCTTTCAACTCCATCGTTTTGGGAAAGGAGAGGAGAGGAGGAACGTACCCAGAGTGAGGTCTCCTTCACCCAACACTTCTCCGACCCCAGCCGCAGCCTGGCGCACCTTCCTTCCCAAACCGACCTCTCCCGCCTCGGAGACCCCCTCCTCCTCCCTGCCACCAAAGGCCAGGCAGCCCCCACCTAGCCAGTCCTCAAGGACCCTGGTCTGAGGCCAAGACTGCCCTCCCGGAGGCTAAGACTGCCCGAAACCCGGACCCTGCGGCCACCAGGAGCGCCGGCCTCCGGCAGCCGACCGGCGGCTGTTGCCGGGGATAAGGTTACCACTCCGCTCTCGCGGCTGGGCTGCCACCCGGCCACCTGCAGGGCCTGGCAGGCGCCCGAGTTCACCCTCCTTCCAGTGGCCCGCGCCGGGCCGGGCCCCGCCGCTCCCCGCGACCCCTCGCGACCCGCGGCGAGTCCCACGGTCCCCACTGCCCCCCGCCGGTAGGCCCCCGCCCCGTTTCCCGGGCGTCCCGAGGCGTCAGCGCCGCCCCCGCTGCCGCTCACCCGGGCCGGGACAGTCTTGCGTCGGAGAGACAGCGCAGCGCGAGAGGGCAGGGGGAGAACGCCGGAGAGAGAGGAAGGGGGAGCGCACCCAGTACCGCTTGGGCCTCCTCCACCCGCCGAGGTGGGGAAAGAGGAGAGCCGGGAGCACAACAGCCCGCGCCTCGCACACCCGCCGCCGCCTCAGCCTTAGGGGAGGCCACTACGCCTCGTGCCCGCGCACGCCGCGCCGAAGTCCCAGGCGCCCCCGCCCCGCCCGCTCCTCGTAGCCCCGCCCACTTGCCTTCTTGCGGCTGCCTCCTCCCCGCCCCCACCCCGCTTGCACGCCTGCGCTCTGGCCCGCCGCGCGAGCCAATGGCAGCGCGTCCTTATTACATAAGCGCGAGGGCTGACCCTGGTGGACGTGAACTTCGGGGAACGTCGCCCTCTGTCCCCGGGCGCCCCTCCTCTCTGTCGCACTCTGTCGGCGGCTTCTTCACCTGGCACCGGGAGCCGCGTGATCCCTGTCCTGGCTGGTGACCGGGCCGCGGCGTGTTTCACAAGCCGCTCGCTCGCTCACCCACTTGGGCGGCAGCCGGGCCTCAGGCCCCGCGCCCCTTTTCCCGCGCCTCCCTGGCTGTTGCGCCAGTCACCGCGGCGCCCTCCTGGGCACCGGCTGAGGCGCTGGCTCGGGGGAGGAGCGCGGGGCCGCGGCGGCCGGGTCACAGTCCAGGAGCCCCGCCACCCGGGACACCGCAGCCCTGGTCCCCAGCGAGGCCGGCTGCCCAGCGGCTCCGAACGCGGACGCGCAGCCTTTGTTCTCTCACCAGCGGCCCTTTACCTCACTCACGGGAACCCCGGGTGTTTTCCCAAGCTGGGGAGTTTTAGTGAACTCAAGATTCAAGCCTGAGCCCCATTAAAAATTGCTGGCTAGGGCCGGGCGCGGTGGCTCACGCATGTAATGCCAGCACTTTGGGAGGCTGAGGCGGGCGGATCACAAGGTTAAGCGATCAAGACCATCCTGCCCAACGCGGTGAAACCCCGTCTCTACTAAAAAATACAAAAATTAGCTGGGCGGGATGGCGCGCGCCTGTAATCCTAGCGACTCGGGAAGCTGAGGCAGGAGAATCGCTTGAACCCAGGAGGCAGAGGTTGCAGTGAGCTGGGATTGTGCCACTGCACTCCAGCCTGGCAACAGAGCGAGACAAAGTCTAAAAAAAAAAAATTGCTGGCTCGGCCTGGCGCGGTGGCTCACGCCTGTAATCTCAGCACTTTGGGAGCCCAAGGCCCGAGGATCACTGGAGCCCAGGATTTCCAGACCAGCCAGAGTAACATAGCGAGACCCCAGTCTCTACAAATAAAATAAAAAATTAGCGGAGCATGGTGGCCCGCGCCTGTAGTCTCAGCTACTCGGGAGGTGGGAGAATCGTTAGAGCCCAGGAGGTAGATGTTGCAGTGAGCCAAGATCGCGCCACTGCACTCGGGCCTGGCGACAGAGTGACACAGCCTAAATAATGATAATAATAATAACTGCTGGCCAGGCCTCCCTGAGGGGTTTAGTCTTACTGCTAACAATATATAGTATGGAGTTGCTAATACTTTGGTGAACGGTTACAGTTCTTTGCTGTCTCTCCCTCTCTAGGTCTCGCTCGCTCTCTCGATTTACAGGCAATGGCAGCAAACTTTCAATAGCTGATCAAGAGCTATGGTGATTCTAACCATGATTACATTTGCTGATTATCTGGAAGCAGTACTTTAGACAGCTTTTTTTTTTTTTTTTTTTTTTTTT